ACATAGACTCACATTGATAATTTTTGGTAGGGACATTTTTACTTAATGAGAATACAAAATATCAAATTAAGGTACCCAGTATTCTCGGTTTTAAAAATGTTAAATTTGTATTTTGATTTAATTTGAATCTACACTAATTCAAGAATATCCCTATGAAATTTCAAGTGAAAATATCAACAACTCTTGAAGATATAGCCGATTTATTGTGCTAGCATCAAGTGACGGCAAGAGGGCTTCTCAAACTTTTAACGCATTTTTCACCAAACAGCGTTTTTGTGAATAGCGGGCACGATAATTCAAAAACTAATAATTCGATCGATTCCAAATTTTGAGACGTTTCTCTGTGAGTGTATAGCTATTGTATGAACTAGGATAAATCCAATCAGTCAAGATTTTCCTTATTTTTATACCATACACACCTATGTTGTGTGGGTATTATAGCTTTGTGCAGCCCCAAGAGTTTGTAACGCCGCGAAATATTGGTCCTAGACCCACCTTTAAGTATACCGTATCTCGACTAGCTGAGTCGATCTAGACATGTGTGTCTGTCCGTCTGTCCATTATAATTTGTAAACATGATGCAGGCCACAGTTATGGACCAATCTTCACGAAATTTTGCATGTAGGATGGGTTCTGACCAATGAAGACTCCTATTGTTTTTGATAAAGATCGGTTCATATTTAGGGAATGAAATGGACCAAATACTTAATTTTTGTCCGTTTTTCCGGTCGCGAACATCGCGAAATTTTACATGGAGAAGGGGATCGGGCCAAAGAATAAACATGCCTGCTTTGATAAGGGTTGTTCAATATTTAGCGGGTCAAATGGACCCTGACTTTTGTGTGAAAAATTAAAAAAAAAAATATTCTATGGCGTATATATGTTGAAGAGGAGTGGTTGACCTTTAAATTGATATCAATTATATGGTCGTTTGTACTCAGATGTGGGAGTTACACGTAAATATTTACAGGTACTTACGTATTCAGATATTATTTAGTAACCCATTACCATACTACAGGGCGGAAATATAGCGCTGATCGCTTAGATTCCATTCCAGTTATGGTCCAGGACCACGCCTGTAATTTTCGGTGATGATCAGATAATAATTTTGGGATGAAGTGGACGAAAACTTGTTTTTTTTTGTGTTTTATTCAATTCGGCCTATAGGCTACAATTGAAAGCCCAACATCACAACATAACCAAAGGTAAAGAGTGCTAAATATAGAACCATAGAAAGTTCGATTTTCGTGGAAGTTGTGTAGGGTATCATATTTTCGGCCCCGTTCGACTATACTGCTCCGCTCACTGGATTTAGCTTGGTTTGTGGTAAAAAATAGGCGATTTTTAAAAAAATATTTTTTTAAAGGTCCGCCATTTTGTTGATTTTTGAGCGAAGCCGATAGTCCTAGTTCATACGACAACAACAACAAAACAATAACAACAAATTTTGTAAATTATTTATCTTTTTCGTGGGGGGGATGTTCCCTTAAAGACATTTCTTCTAATTTCTCTTATACAATTTTTAGCACTTTTATTTGGCACTTTATAAAATCTTTTAGTACTTTTTAAAACAAAATCTAGCATTTTTTATCAACAAAGTTTTAGCAACACTGGTTTGGATTGATGTTATTCGGTTCACTTATAGATAAATACCACATATTTCAATTCCTTCAATTTGAAATTGTTAGGACCCGTATCTAGAATATACCCAAAGTGGTGAAGGGTATCATATAGTCGGCCCAGCCCGACTTTACTACATTTCTTGCTGGTTATATCCTACATTACAATGCTGTGGGTATTGTACATGTTTGTGTCGCCTAAGTGTATGCAAAGCCACGTAATATTTGACATAAGCCGAATTTAGAAATTTGTTAACGTCTGTCCATTATAATTTATAATCAAAATTACAGGTCACAGTTGTGGACCAATTGTCCCGACATTCTGCATGCAAGTTAGGTCCTGGCCAAAGACGACTCCTATTGTTTTTTAGTAATAATCGCATCGAAATTGACGAAAAACTTGTTTGCCTATTTTTTCGCTCCAGATGACCCATTAGTTATAGCCCTAAGATTTGGCCAGATAATAAGGATAGAATAGCCATTACGGGACGTTACCCTTAAATTACCCATTTAATATTAATCAGGAAAGGAAAAACACACAAATTGCATCTCTGATTCATATGATCACGTAAACATTAATGTTTGTAGCGGACTATTATTTTACTACACTAAATTACAGTTTTATTGAGAACGTGTCCAGAATTTTTATTTATCATTGCAGCCAACATAATACTGAATCCAGTACCATTATGGGAAATACTATCAAATAATATTTTAAATTAAATCCAACTTAAAATGCAACACACAACCATTTCAGAGGCAATTGAAAACAATTTGTTTTATTAAATGTCCAGATTGTTAAATTAGAAACAAAACATGTGTCTTTTGGTAGCACCTACAATAATTTTGACCAACAAAATTGTTTTTTATTTAAATTTCAGTTGACATTTTAATTTTGCATTCAAACATGCACACACACCCCTTTCAGTTTTGAAAGAATTGGTAATATTTTAAGTTGTCGAGTGTCTTTAGCTGTCACGCTCTGATACTTTTAAAGAATTCGATTTTTGTGAAACAAAGTTTTTTTTATTAATTTACCTGTCACAACAGGATAAAATGTATTTCTTAAGCTTATTGGCTGGTGTTTGAAAATATTTATGTGCGTTTAAATAAAAATATTTGATGCGGATTATTAAAAAGACTTGAATGCATAAAGTTCTGTGGAATATAAACGTTTTACTTTCAGTTGTTTACGATTTCATAGGCCTCGTAGATCATTAGTTTTGGTTGGCCTATGGATAGATATAGCGTCCCTAATCTTAGATATGCCCCAAAATTTCCGACATTTTGAACATTCTAATTTGCTATCAAACCATTCGGTTTCGAAATATCCTGAATCCTCGTTCGGCATTAAAGGACTGCGAGAGGTCCTTTCCGACTTTAACTGCTGATCTTGTGCCAGTTAAAGTTATCCTGCATAGCCGCATTAATTTTGCAGGAATGCCAAACGCAGACATGATTGGGTGGATTTGTCAGTTCGGAAGCCGCATTGGTATGGTCCAATAATGTCATTGACCATTGGCTTCAGTCGATCATAAGTCCGCTGGATAGCACTTTATATACGATGGGAAGGAGACTTATTCTCTATAGTTGGCACATATCGTCTTGTCTCATTTTTTGTGCACGGGACACAGGATGCTTAGGTTCCAATCATTGCGCATGCATTCTCCTAGCCAAATTGTACCAATCAGCTGGTGCATGCTCCTTACCAGCATCTGACCATCAGTCTTGAATAGTTCGGCTTTTAACCATCGGCACCTGCTGTTTTATTATTTTTCAGCCGATTGATTGCTATTCTGACTTCATCTTGGCTAGGTGTGGTATACACACTATATCGTCATCTATTTTTGGTTCTGAGGATACCCTTCTTCACAGCTACTATTTGATACCAGAAGTTTTTCAAAATGCTCCTTCCAGCTCCTGTTCTCAGGGTTGCCCTATACGCTAAGTTTTTCATATCAGTAGCATTACGACACTCCTGATCGTACCACGAATTCCTTGATGGTGGTCTTTGGTACTCAAGTGTTACTTTTGCTGCAGTTTGTATGGTGTAGGAAATTCTCTGCCATTGTGCTTCTATATTATTATCGGGACCAGGGGTGCTTTCGTAAAGCAGTTAGGTAAGATGAGCGGAGTAGGCTTCTGCTATTGTGTTTGAAGCTTTTCGACGTCAAAGTTCCGTGTTACATCAGATCGCCACAAGGTAATGGTCCGAATCGATATTTGCCGCCGGATCGATCGGACGTCTAAAACACTGGATGAATGCCTTCCGTCTATCACAACATGATCGATTTGATTTCTCGTTGTTCGATCCGGAGAAATCCAGGTGGCCTTGTGTATATCGAGATGATTGAATGTGGTGCTGCTAACTACCATTGTTTTTTGCTGCCGCGAAGTCAATCAACCTCATGCCGTTGTCTGATGTTTCTTCATAGAGGCTGAATTTTTTGACGGTGGGCCCAAAGATATTTTCCCTTCCGATTTTTGCATTAAAATCTCCTAGCAGAATTTTAATGTCATGGCCAGAGCAACGATCATATGCTGTTTCTAGGCGCTCGTAAAATATGTCTTTGGTCTGTTCATTTTTATCTTCGGTCGGAGCATGGGCGCAAATGATAATGATGTTGAAGAACTTCGCTATTATACGGCTTATAGCAATTCGCTCATCTACTGGAGAGAATCTGGAGACGAGGTATTTTATTCTCCTGTTAACCATAAATCCGCAGCCAAATTGATGTCTCTTTTCATGGCAGCTATCATACAGGGCGTAATCATCTGATTTGCTTACACCAGTCCCTTTCCATGGCATTTCCTGTAAGGCAATAATATCGGCTTTGTACTTATTAAGTACATCCGTCAAAGCGAACACTGCGTCTGTTTTGTACAACTAGCGCACATTTCAAGTGCAGATTCGCAGATCGTGGTCCTTTATACGTTTGCGGGGGTCGTCAACATTAGGGGGTTTTGGTTTTCTTTTTCTTTGCTTTTTATAGTAGGTTGGGTTTTCCGAGAGTGGGCAACTAACCCGACGCTTCAACCCATTTTTTTATAGTTCTTATAGGTGAGCTCGCGGCACATATTAGCTCACTATTTCATCGGGTGATGAAAATCCTTGGAACACAATGGTGTAATATGTCCACATTTTGGTTATATCTTACTCTCTATAAAAATTCTATCTTTTGTAAATGTCAATATTCCTATGAGAGAGGATACAAAATATTCATGTAAACCCACCTGAGATAAAAACAAAGAATTTTATAGAAAAATATAATGCAACCATTTATTAAAAATATTAAAAAATATGTAACACAAAGTTGAGATTAATGAACATGTATCAATGGCTTTTGGGATCAGAATATCCTTATAATGTTCTGCTGACTTTTACCAAGAACCTCTGCCACCACCATGTTTGTTGGCCCATGGGTTGCCTCCGCCCTGTTTGTTTCCCCAACCACCATGATTGCCACCAAAACCGCCATTGTTGCCACCACCATGACCTCCGAAACCTCCATTGGATCCACCATGACCGCCATAACCTCCACTGGATCCACCATGACCTCCAAAACCACCAAATCCTCCGCCACCACCACCGGCATTATATCCACCAAAACCACCAGAGCCACCATGTTTACCAGCGAAGCCGCCTCCACCTCCTCCACCTTGTTTATTTGCCCAAGGATTTGAGCCAAAACCACCTCCATATGAGGCACCTCCACTTTGTTTGTTCGCCCAAGGATTATTGGAGCCACCGCCACCATAACCACCTCTGCCTCCACCATATCCACCTTGTTTATTGGCCCATTGGTTACCACCGCCAAAGCCACCTCCACCACCTCCTGCCGATACGGTTACAACCAAAATTACCGCCATTAAAAATACAGTTAAACGCATCTTCATGTTCCTTTCCAGATAGAAAATCTCTCTTGAAAATGCAGTTAACAACTACAAAGGTGAACTGTGCCATTGAAGATCTAATCAATCGTATTTATATATGAATTTAATCAAGATATTTTTTTCTTCAAATTGATGCTGTTGTTGCTGTCGTTACTTGCAAAACATTTCCCTTTTCGACGACAGCACTGAGGTAGTAATTATTTTTGTCTTCCTCTCTGCTTACTTTCAAATATACCTTTCCACTTAGAATCTAAGTGGTTCTATGTTAAAATGTATATAATAAGTGGTCCATCCACGTTTTTCCATTTATATGTAATAATTACATATTTCCTAATATTTCAATTGGATACCCAAACATGAACATGTAAAATGCACTTAATCTTTCTACTAACAGGGTGACCCAAGTGATTTGATTTTATGAAACAAAATTTAAATTCTTTGCTATCACCGATTTTTAATTTTTATATGAAATTTTATAGTTAAGATATTTACGAGCCTTTAGGTCGACAATAGCTTACAAAATATTTCGGGTACTGAAAATGGATTCTGCAGCGGTATTATTCACTTTGATTGAGGACCATCAAAACAAACTTAAACGTTGCGGTTCTTTATATGTGAGGCTATCTCATAATAAGCACTTAAATTAAATATAGACGGTTTTTACTCACCAAGAACGCCGAAAGCCAAATTGGTGGTTGTAAATGCAACCTAAGCCTTAAAACTCCCAAGGCTATGAGAAAGCCTGTTGACCTATTGAAATTTTTCTGCAAAAAAGATTTTTAGCCACTAAGAACCCGGAATACCTAATAACAACCACCTAGTTTTGAAAATATGACTAAATTTTCAAAATGGGAGCTACACCAAAATGTGGGTCTACATTAATAGTTTTTCTACGGAGAAGTTTTCTTAACACTTAGAAACCAGTATGTCAAATTAATTCCACCACCTTAGACTACGAATTACCTAAACAGTCAGCGGGACCAAGTCTCGTCAATACGGCATTGTTTTGGGTAAACCTAACGCATAAGCAGAATCGAAAAGAAGTGTAAATGGCCTTAAGTTTGGCCGGGCCGAACTATGGATACCCTCCATCATAGGTTTACTGATAGTTACTCGAAATGAAAATGTAGGGAACATAGGGACCATTGTATCCAGCGAATATACACCAAATACGAATTTCAGCAATTTTAAATGAATGTTTTTCCGAAAATAGAAAAACCCTAAAATGTGGAGAGATTTTGACGACAGATGTTAGAGAGGGACATGTGTATAAAATCCCGATCGCCATATGAAAATTGTCACTGAGGCTATACCTCAATCAATATTGATTACATCGTGTAGGAATTATTGAATATTTGGAGGTATCATTATATAAGGTGCTATGCCTAATTTCAAACCTAACATTTTTTGCCTCAAAATACTGTCCTTCATGCTAAATATTAACAAGTTAAAAATCGTTAAGTTCGGTCGGACCGAACTTTGGATACCCTCCACCATAGGTATACTGACAGATATTTGAAATGAAAATATAGGGAGCATACCAATAAAGTGAACCTATACCAATATTTCTACAAACAGGTTTATGTAAACCATTATTTACACCAAATACAAATTTCAGCAATATTTAATGAAATCCCCAAAGCGAAATGATTTACCGATGGTAAATCGTCATAGATTTCCATAATTTGTAGGATAAAACTGACTATTTCGAATAACGATGATCCCCTATACTATGATAGAATACGCCTATATGGGGACAACCCCTACACACGGAACTAATCAGCTAACTATTTTAATATAAGAAAAGGGTTATATGGAAACTAAACCTAAAAGGGGCGGGTAATAATAATTATTGGTAGGAAGATTTGTTACCATATGCGACTACAAAATACCAAATTACAGCGAATTCTCTCAAGAACCCTAAAATACCGAAAATTAAGGGTGTATTCTATGGGGGCTACCCAAAAAATGGGCCCATTTTTACAATTTTTACTGAGGGAATTTGGTACCCAATAAGAACACATTGTACCATATTTCAGCGAATTCGGTTTAAAAACGCAAAGAAAAACCGTAAATTCGGAGTGGACTGATATTTATAATTTGTAGTGGAGACAATTGGTACCCAAAAAGAACCCAAAGTACCAAATTTCAGCGGTTGAAAAGCGCGCTCATGAACCAGAAAATATCGAAAATTGGGCGATACCCTTATGCCATGTTCTGACGGGCATTCGAACAACGTATTTCGCTCTCAGAATTACGTACATGAATTAACCCGTTCATACAACACTATTCATAATTCATGTCATCAGATTTTTTTATTTCAAACTTTTTGTTTCTTGTTTTACACCAAAAATGTAACATATGTTAGTGAATTACATAGGGATCTAAATAGAAAAAATAATTCTCTTTCTCCTGACTATATTATGAACCCATATCTATTTACTTTTCATTCATGTTTTCCATTTTTTCTGAAAATGTTGTTGTTTTCAATACATTTTTATATTTTCTCAATTCAAATGTCACATTCTGTCACATATAAAAATTTGGAGAATTTTTTGTTTGAGTTGCCCCACATTTGTTTCTTGTTTTGTACGCTAATTAGAACCAAGGGAAAAGAAATGCATATTGCATTATGTAGACAACAAAATTTACATCCCGCTGCATATATAAAAACTCTACAATTTTTTACTTTTCATTCATGATTTTCAATTTTACTGAAAAAGTTTGAAAATTTCATAAATATTTTCAAACTGTCAAAATTAATTTATTTTCGATAAATACTCTCAATTGTTAGGGATGGGACAAATTTATTGGTTATTCAGAGAGTGATTCGAATTGAACAACGTACAAAAGTCGGTGTTCGCTCAGACAATTTTGTATGGGGAACTAAGTAATTACTTCATAATTAAGGGTCGAACAACGAATGAGAGAGCGAACAACGCTCGTCTGTACATGGCATTATATGGAGGCTATGCCTAAACGTGGACCGATGCATACAAAAGGCAAAATACGACTCTGTGAAAAATTTTGGCGATCTATCACAATTCCTTCAGAAGATAGCGTGATTACAACAGACGGACGGACATGGCTATATTGTCTTAGAATTTTACCCTGATCAAGAATATGTATATTTTATAGGATCGGAAATAAATATTTGGATGAGTTTCAAACGGAATGACAAAATGAATATACCCTCCATACTATGGAGGGTATAGCGTATCAGTACACTATGCAAAATATATATGGGAGCTATATCTAAATCTGAACCAATTTTCCGGAAATTTAGCACACATCATTGTCGACTTAATTTAGTACGCTATGCCAATATTCGTACAAATCAAAAGATTTGCAGGAACTTTGGTGCACCATTTACTTAAAATCGGACGAAACTATATATGGGAACTATATCTAAATCTGAACCGATTTTCACGAAATTTAGCACACATCATTGTCGACTTAAATTAGTACGCTAGGCCAATATTCGTGCAAATCTAATAATTTTCAGTGACTTTAGTGCACCATTTACCTAAAATCGGACGAAAATATATATGGGAGCTATATCTAAATCTGAACCGATTTTCTCCAATTTCAATAGGGTTCGTCCTTGGGCTAAACTAATGGGCTCTGCCATTTCATGCAATTCGGATCATAAATTCAACCTGTACTTTGCTCACTAAAATACATGGACGGACGGACAGACGGACATGCATAAATCGACTCAGAATGTGATTCTGTGCATATTCTCAAAAGGAACCATGGGTCTCTCGATTCCTTTTGCCTGTTACAAACATATGAACAAAGACATAATACCCTGTACCTCAGTGTGCTGAAGGGTATAAAAAGGGGGTAGCATGAGAATCTAAAATCCTGTCCTATAAAAGGTCTACCCTTAAACTTAAATTGTTTATTTTTGGTAGGAAGATGTCCTACCTAGTGGGAACCCAAAATAACAGATGGCAGTTGGTAGTTTGAACAATTTTCCAAATTTTTCAAGATACTGAATATTGGGGGGGAGGTGGTGTGGTGTGTACCGTTATATGGGGCTAACCAGGGAGATTAAATACCATACACGTGTCAATAAAAGCGATCGAAATTACAATAAGATCCTGCTAATCCGGCAATTGATTGCAGACCCTAATCCGGGTTACCAATTTTAAAGGACTATCAACTTTGTTATTACAAATACTGCACTGATAAGAAAACCTTCACGGCTCATAATTTTAACTGTAGTTTCGTGGTATGGTACGGTTTAAACAAAAATACTCATACACCAGTGTGCAAGGCAGTACGGCCTGTAGAGCGACTAAACAAACAGACAAAAATAAAGTTTTCACTTCATTGCATCACTATAAACACAAACGTCTGGATCCATTTGACCCGCTATATATTGACCGATATTCATCAAAACAATCATGCTTATTATTAAGGCGTTCGGGTCATAATTGTGGCCTCTAGTGCGACCAGAAAAAAACAGGCAAAATAAAGTTTTTGTCCATTTCATCCCCTAAATATTAAGCGATCATTTCCTAAAAACAATAGGTTTCTTTCATGGCAAGAATTTTGTGACGATTAATCAGACATTCAGACATTACAAACTCTTGGGGCTGCAAAATAATTTATTACCCTGTCTACATAGTTGTGTGCGGTTTAAACATAATATACATAGTAACAATCCAGATTCTGTAATGCAATCCGGATTAGCGAGGTACGTGGTATCGAGATTTGACTGTATATACTAGACCAACCTGGACCAATTTCAAAGAAACTTGACACACTTCTTTCGTAATCATCCCTTGGAATCGGAATCTAGCAACCCTAGGTGGAGGATATAAAAAGTGATAAAATCGAAGACACGTTCGGTTTTTATCATCGTTAATCGCACTTTTTCTTCGTGAAATAATTTTGCTACACCCTGTACAATATCGTCTCTGTGATGAACATCATACAACATCTGCATCATGATTTAACAATTAATATATTTTATGATCTGTTAATATGGATTT